TAACAGCTGATGGGTGGATCCAATAAGAATAGTTTGGGCATGTGAGTTTCCTTTCTACTGTCAGCTCAAATCCCCTCTCCGCACCTGTGGATCACTCAGTAGGGCAGGAGGTAGGCATGCCCAGGGACCTGGGTGTCAGTCATTTAATAGCAAGTCTCAGTCGGGGGCAATGCTGGTCTCATTGCAGACATTCAAACTGAAGATCATCCAGACAGCTGCCTTCCATGTCTGGCAAGACAGTTGTCCATCCTGATGAGCATCAGCCCTGTCCATGAGTTCACGTTTGGTGCCTACAAGCTGGACTCATCTCTGTCATTGCATTTAGACTTTAAACTCACAGGGAAGCCAATGCTGATATGTAATGGAGCAGTAGCCTGTCTTCAGATCCAGTGCTATCCACTTCATCTCAGGGACTGCTTCCTTCCAGGACATAGAATCATAGAAAAGCAGAGCTGGAAGGGACTTCAAGAGGTCATCTGGTCTAGCCCCCTGTTCAGGGCAGGATCATTCCTGGCTAAACCATTTCATACAATGCTGGTTTACCCTGTCACTAAAGCTGTGTGAACAATTGCACAGCTACAGGGCATAGTGCCCCAAAACACTAAAAGCACCCTAACTTGTCACAGGTAAAGTAGGGGGGTGAGGAAACTATCAATAAATTCATGCACAACATTTTTAGGAGAGGTATTGAGAATTTAGCTTTCCTGACTGAGCTGAAGTACAGTAGTCCTGCCCCCTCTAAGATGCCTGGCATTAGTGTGATGGATTTAGCTGCTAAACTACTACTGGATCTTTCCAAAATAGACTTTGCTTCAGGCCTCAAGAATGGTGCCTGTGAACTGCCTGATGCTGATGGCCGGCTAGGAGGATGCCTGTTAGAATGCTAGCTTGCTGAAATGAAGATTTATAGTCTTGACTGGCTCGTCTCTAGGTTCTTCCCCACCCTTTCACATGCAGGGTAATGCAGTTGCATCATCTTCTCTTTGAAGGTATGGTTTGGGAGTTTTTCTTTTAAAATGTTTTATACACTCTCCTATCAAGCTCTTTTTAAAAGGACAGTCTGAGAAACATCGGCGATATTGGGGGGGTTCCAAGTTAGAGTTCAGCTTCCAGTTAAGAACTTGCCTGGAACTTGCTAGTATTCAAGAGTCCAAAACATTCAGAATGGAAAATGTGAACTTTAGCAGAAAATTTGAACTGAGTGATCTCTGACTGCATTGCCCAAGAGTGTGAGGTGGGAAAACATTGCACATATCTAAGCTGCTTGGTGAAGCAGGGTGTTGTTCCTACATTTCTGTAGGATCTGCTTGTGAAGGAAAACCTAACCTTAGAAACTGCAACCCACCCACTAAAATACAGGGACATGCCTTTTCATTTCTGTGTGCTGAGCCACATGTGCAGATATACCTCAAGGTCTTAGCCAAGCGAGAGGCAGCACAAGAACAGCCTTGCTCCAGGGTGCTCACAGACTAACTGGACAAATGGTGGGATTGGGGCTCAGAGATGAAAGGCGGCTGTATCAAGGTTATTTGATAATATTTAGTTAGTCCTTCCTCCTGCAGGCTGCTTTATTCCCTCTGCTGGAAGGAGACTTGACTGGGGCAGAACACATCTCTACTCCTACTTGAAAATATGAGAATTGTGATTTTTGGAGACAGTCTCTTGTGCTCTCCCTCAAGCAGGACTTTGTTGCTCTGTGGAGAAAGGAATGTCTCCCAAGTGGAAGGCTCTTTGGTTCAGTGTGTCAGGAACTTGTGCCTTCTTCCTTCGTAGCTGGGCTCTGCTCCCTTTGAAGGGTAGCAGTTGCCCTGCTTGTATAAGAGGAACGTTGTCAGCACCAATGCTCCGTCCCTCTCCTCTGGCAGCAGCCGTGGAAGTGTGAGGTGTGGTGTAATTTGTCACGTCATGTCCTCTGGTAGTCACTACACTTTGTTCAGAAATGACCTAATATACACTACAGTGGCACACAGATGATATGCAATAAAGAAACAGGGCCCTCAGAAGGGCAGAAATCTGGAGAAAGACACTTGGTTAAATGTTCACAGAAACTGGGAAAGGGTTGTTGAAGTTATTTGATTTGATCTGGCCCCAGCTTGTCCTTCCCATGAATGTTTGATTACCTGCTAAGCCAGAGCCTATGGCAGACATGGCTAAAGGCATGTGCTGTTTTTTCTGTGCATGCATACAGGTCACCACACACTTTCTTATGCAAACATGTACAAACCAATTAACAATTTACAGGGAGAAGCCAGTGGTGGGACCAGAACGCAGGTTCCTTATGTGGGCAAGCACTCAGCCAGCTGGACGGAAACAGCCCCTGCACTAGCTTGGGCCTGTCGATGTTCATTTTCTTATAACCCAGATTATTCATGTATGTCATTGCCACCAAAGCCAAGGGTGTCCGTAGCATTCAGGTGGCATCTTGTCTCTTTGTCCAGACAGGAATCAAATGTTCTGGTGACAATGAGGTCTGACTGGGCACCGAGTACCAGATAGCTGTGGGATCTCATTGCTTGTTAGGGGTCTAAGTCAGTTAAGCACTTTTGAAATCCCACCTGGAGTCTCCTCCCAAACAGTTTTACAAAGTCATTTAATACACAAAAGCAGTGTGAGGCAGGAGCGGGGGAGAGAGAACCAATGTCTCCGAGGGGAGGAGGGAGGGACGGACGGACGGGGAGCGCTCTGCCTTGCAGTCCCACTTTGTCTGGGCTGTAACACCACACCAGCCCCAGACAAGCGCACTTTGGGAGGGGGCTTGAGAGCACAGAGGCAAAACAGATGTGGCAGGAAGGGCAATGATTTTCACTCTGTGTTGGTGATGGGAAGAGTCAACATACAGCAGGGAGAACCTGAATAAATAATAGGAAAAGCCTGTGCTGGAAGGACAGCTTAGGCAAGGCTGAAAGTCGACACTTGCTTATGAAGGGTGGGTGATAGCCATCCAGTTCTAGTGAAGAGGGATGGGCTAGAGAGCCCACTCACAATCCCCTCAACCCTCAGCATTTCCATGGTTTCCTAGAATTTGAAGGAGATGGGTGAGGAGCCGAGAAGAAATCCTGCATAGAGCATCAGCATCCCATAGGCCTTCAGAGAGAGGGGGAGGTACCAGCATCACTCTCCGCAAATGCTGCATGCCTGCCTGAGCCATCACTGGCCACTGGATTGCCTGGCCTGGTCCCAGCCAAGCACCTCCCTGCCAGAGTCTCGGGTCTTTCTTTTAGACGGCCATTCTGCTAGCTGCTTCCCGGCTCTTCACCAATGGAACGAACTTTCTGTGGAAATGTAGGTCCTAGAAACTGGAAAGACAGGCAGGCCCCTGCAACTGGTGCCCGGCTAACGTGGCTGTGGAATTTATAGCCCTTCTAATGCTCACACTTTATTCCTCTCCCAGTTGTTATTGTGCAGTAAAGTGTGGCTTCTGTGTTGTGTCAGCCAGAGAGCTTGGACACAGAAGGAAAGTACTTTCCAGTGCCTTGTTCATTTGCTATTATTCTGAATTTCCCATCTCTGAACTTGGGGAATACTTCAGATCCCTTACTGGGTGTATGAGTTCATGTATTGTGATTGCAGTAAGCAGGGGATTTGTTCTTGCGGGGGGGCTGAGGTGTGTGCGGCTGCCATCCATCCTAGAGGGAGGCATAAAACAGAGCCAATTGGCTCTGCAATTTGTGCTTTAGTGCTCACTGCTGACCTCAGGACGGGGGGGACTGACAGGGCCTGGCTGTGTGACTATGGTCTTAAGACAATACTCATTTCTGCATTGCTCATAAACAAATGTATCTAAAACACCACACTTTATATCCACTTACAATTCTGAATACCTTTCCATTTATCTAAAGCTTGCTGAGGTGAGTTCCTATAAGGGAAGACTTATTTCATTTCCATGAAATGTTTATATTTTCTGGGAAGTTTCTCTCTCACCTCTTTAAATTTTACTGCACTTGGCGTGCAGCCTGCAGCAGAGTCCTCCCAAGGAAGCTGGTGAGGCAGGGAGGTTCAAGAGGGACTATAAATTTCAAACTCTCTGGGTTAGAATAATTTAAGTGCACCAAGATCTTAACCTTAAAGGATCAATACCAAGCTGTTTTTTTCTTTAGTGTTGTAAAATTCAAGCCAAAAAAATATAGCAGTTAAAAAAAAAAAAAAAAAAAAAAAAAGAAGTAAATAAAGATTGTATGTGAACCGGGGACTGATGCTATAAAAGATCCTGCCCCGGTTTTCATCAGAGTCTTGGGGCAACTTCTAGTTTGGCTGTCTGGGAGATCAGCCGTTGTGGGAAGACCTTCTTTAAAAATATGTCAAGGCCCACAACTTGGTAATCATGCTTGCCAAATGTCCACAGCTCCTCATCTGTATCTAACTTCTTTGTTTAAATCCCAGCAGGGACTTGGCATTTCAACATAGTCCCCTGAATGAATTAGGTTTGGCAGGTATGAGTGTCCCTTTGGGTTTGGGGGCTTTGGCTGTACAGAAACAAACAACTCTTTGGAAGTGGAACGCCACTGCAAGTGCAATTTCTGGCTAGCTGGGCGAGGCTGTCCTGCCATAGCATCACCCCCGTGCTGCAGCAAGAGCAAATGTTCAGTGCTGTCCTGTTACCTGCTGTAAAAAGGGACATGGGGCAGAAACCTCACATGTTTGTGGTAGACATTTTGTACTCAACAAGGAATTTGCTGACTTGTTTTGACAAATTCTGCTCCCCAGATACTCGAACTGGACCAGTCCCATGTACAGCAGCCTGTGGGACGTTCAGGGAGCCGTTTGGTTGTGGGAGAAACAAAAACAGGCAGAAAAGGAAAGCAGAAATTAGAAATCACCAACCTGGTTAAGACTTCAAATGTGCAGCACGTGCTGGCAAAATAAATGTCTTAAAGCAAAATATTTATGCATCATTTCCTGTTTGTTTTGCTTGCCAGGATTTGAGGTTGGGGTTTTCTGTTTTTCTTGCTATAACTGATGACATCACAGTCACCTAAAGGAGCATTTCCGTTCTTTTTTAGTGAGAGAGAAAAAAAATACTTAACATGAGATGTGAAGGACCCTGAGGTCAGGACCTGGCAGGCTGTACAGGAGAAGCTGCTTGACAGGTACTGTGTTTGAAAATGAAAATTCATATTTAAGTCTTCCCATTGTTTCCGTTAAAGCCGCAACCATTGCACTTATCTTCAGCATTTACTAGAAGAAAATGCTACGTGTGTGCGTGTGTGTACACACGTATGCAGGTATGTATGTATAATTTGTTATGGTCCAGTAACTTTAGTACTGCCTGCTTCTGCAAAGAGGTATTTTCATCCATTCAAGAAAGGTAAGGACTGAACAGCCTGCCTCCTGAGGAATCAAGTCTTCAGTAGCAGGGAAGGGATGTCAAGAAGTGGGTTGTGACACAGTGTCTGCATTTTCTGACCGGTACTAGTACCAGTGGATGGGCAAACGTATGCATTCAATACAGTCTTTCCTCAAAGGGCCTCAGCCTCAACTGGATTCACACCAGGGCACTGTTAAGAACCCTTTCTTTAGCCAATCTGTTCACTAGCAAGTCATCTGACTTGGTGCCTTTTGCCAGCTAGCGTGGTGAACAGATATACCTGAATGCTTGCTCTCGCCATGCACTCCATGCACCATGGACCCAGAAGCAGACGGCAGAGACGTGGAGGTGGTGGGAGCATTCTGGGTCTATCTGGGTTCTGTTCTCCACTTGACGTCTCAAAATCAGATCTTCAGATGTGCTGATTTGATGTGCGACTGTACTAGCTTGGGTGCTCTGTGACTGTCCAAAGGAACTAATGGGGACATTGTCTGACTTGCTGATGGGGGTCCCCAAGGGCTGCTCTTTTGGCGACTCCTCCATCCCTGTCCTGTCTGATTCCAGTCCGGTGTTTTTGCCTGATGTGTTGCACATGGTCTTCAAAACCACACTCCTCCCTGGGTTCCAGTAGTGCTCTGTGTCAGGTTTGGTAAGGTGGAGCATGTGCTTATGATCCTCCTGCTTGCCGATTGAGGCAGCTTTGGGTGACTCTTCTCCTGGTGCCTCTGGAAGGTGTATATTTGCTGCCAGTGCCTGTAGACCCTCCATTAGGACAGTGTACCTCCTCTTTCTCCAACAGCCCATTGTCTGGTCAAAAGCCATAACTGAGCCTGCTGCATTTAAAGTACTAGAAGCAAAATACATGGGCACTGGCACCTTCTAAACCAGGGGCGGGCAATTATTTTGGGTGGAGGGCTGCTTACTGAGTTTTGGCAAGCCTTCAAAGGCCACATGACAGGCAGCCAAGGGCAGATAAATATTAATTTTCTAAATTTTTTAGCGGTCCCGCAGGCTGGATGGAATGGCTTGGTGGGCCACATCCGGCCCGCGGGCCGCATTTTGCCCACCCCTGTTCTAAACTCTAGAAATGCAGAGAAAAGTGGCAGACATTGTCTTGCTAAAACAGTTATGCAGCCAAACCTGGCCAGTTCTGAAAAGGGACATATTTTAATTTTGCAGGAAGGAAGGATGGGGCAAGTCTGAAAGCATCTGTGTTACTAACTGCACAGTACGGAAGGGGCAAATGACTAAAAATGCTGGACAGTGGTTCTGCAAATAAACAGGTCACTTTTGCTGTTGTGGCAGGAAGAGCCGTTCATATAGAGTTGTATCAAATGACTCTCTGGGACTGACTCTTTCTCATCAGGCTTCTAGGCCTTTCTCTCTCTGCCACCCCCACCACTTCCTTTTACCGAGGATTGTTTCATTGCATCTGCCTCTATTCTTTTTATTTAAACCAAGTATAACATCTTAGGTTTCATAAGACTGGTAACTGATGTGTGAGCAGACTGGACTCATCAGCAATGGGTTTGTACACTTGGAGATGGGACAAGGGGTCTGGTCCTATTGTCTAATGTTGGTGTGTGGAGATGCAGTCCCCATCCCACCTCCTCCCAGATGGCAGCATTGTGGCGGGTTAGGAGACTCAGATCAGTGATGGGCAGAGACTTGTAGAAGGGACAGTGTGTTGAGAATGGGACAGGAGGTTAAACGGTATGTGTTGTTCTACAAGGACAGTTAACGGGGCAGTGAACCTTGCCTCTGTACTGGGGCTCATCACAACATTGTTTTTAATGCATTGGATGCATTTTAGTGCATTGGGTCTGACTACTATAGTATGTATGAAACCAGCTCTGGGCACATGAGCAGAGTGCCTCAGCTTTGCTCCCATGGTGGAGTGGAGAACTCGCTCCACCAGTATTTCTGTGATTATGACATTAAAACATGGCTTAAAACCGGTCCAAAAAATAAAATCCGTCATTTTCCCATTGTGTCGTGTTGTCCGGCCCTGGCCCCCCCCCCACCCCCCCCCCTGCCCCGGGTCATGTTGTGCAGAGGCTTAGTGTGTGGATTTCCTTTTTGAATACTGTCAGAAGATACTGGAATTTCCTGCTTTCATCCCACTGCAGTAACTGCACCCCAGGCAGAAAGGAGTAGAAAGACTTGTTTCTGTAGGTCACAACTGGTCTTTCTCCCAAAAGACCATTACTACTGCCTTGTCCAGTGCATTTTAGATAGGTCAACAAATGGCACCCTCACCCTATTTTGGTGGGGGGCAGGGTACAGCACAGCACCTTGATATTACATGTGGCTTGCAGGAATTATCTCCCAAACTTAGTATGAATTTATTTGTCTTCGGTTCAGCCAAATGGTTATAACATTCAAACTGTGAAAAATAATCCCTCGTTCTCCCTGGAGTTTTCCCTTGGGTAGTAGTAGCCTGTGGTGTTGTTCCCCAGTCCATTACCTAGCTAAGCTGTGCAGTCTCATATCCTCTTTGCTTCAGTCGGTCCCTCCTGTCCCTTGCCGACAGTGACATTTGTTGCTCTTTAATTCCTTGAAGTCTGTCTACCTCTTCCTGCTCCAGCGATGGACACGGAGAAGCACAGTGAGTTCATAGTTTCAAGGGAGGTAGGAGTGTGATGCACAAGATGTAGTCCAGTATCTGAAGTGTTTTTTGGGTTAGATAAATGTTCTGAAATAAGTGAAGGCAGCAGCTAAGCTATTCTAAAGTGGCCTGGCAGGCCAGACAAGGTCTGTGTTTTGGGTACGCTCGTTCCTGTGCTCTGACGAGATACCCCTGAAACCCCAACCTGCACTTGCTGGTTTGCTGGTCTTCTGCAGCACAGCCTCCTGTTTGATTTGCTAGTCAGGTTCAGACTCTGGTTAGGAAAGTGGAACCAGGAGCTGCTTTCTTGCTTTTAACAGTCGCACCGACGTGCCTTACAGTGCTACAGCCACAGACGCAGCCAGAGGCATCAGTCGGATGCTGCTTCCTCTCAAGTAGGCTCTGCACCTCCCTGTTCGTGCCTGTGTCGAAGCAAGCCTCACGGAGCATAAATCCTTTTACCGCTATGTTAGCGTTTCCCCTTTCCTCATGCTTTCTGGACAGCAGTGACCACACATACTACTTTACCCGTGGGGGCATCAGCAGTGATTAACCTTCCAGGCATTAATGCTACTTTTTTGCTTCATGTAACAAGATATTTAAATGACCATTTTAAAGCAGTGATTTATAAAATGCAGTGCAGCAATGAATGTTTGTGAAGAGGTTTGAGATCCTTGAATCAAAGGCACCGTGTATTTATGCTTTTAATAATTGTTACAAGGGTTGTGCTTAAATTAAGGACCACAGATGCTCACAGAGGGTTTCATTGCATTTTTCCCAAAAGCCCTGCTCTGGCTCTCCCAGAGGACAAAAGGCCTTTATTTTTGAGCCCTTGATGTTATTTGCACTTTAAGTTTTGTTGGGTTTTTTTAACATGTAAATAAAAGTTGGCCTTTCACAGGTTAACAGTTTGCAGCATCTTCTCAGTTCTTACTTCACAGGAGCAGCCCTGCCTGGTTGTAAATCATGTTAGCACGTTTGCTTTGTAATCTTGCTTCTCTATCTCTTCACCTGAGGCAGTGGGCGTGTATGCAGATAGCCACCTTGTGTGCAGGAGCCATTGCTTTCTCCTACTTCTAGAAGCCCACCAGATGCCTGTGATACCTGTTTTATTCTTAGCCATTTTAGGCTGGCAGAAGCTAAATTCAATTAGTTTAATTATGAGTTTGTGTCAATTTGAGGCTCATGGATTTCCTTGAAGTGCTTGGAAAAAACATATAAACTGCCAAACATGCCATGCAAAACCTCACTTTCCCTTTCTCTCTCTATCAGACTTTGGATGATGCTTAGTCTCAGTAGGGTGCTGTGTCAGACTAGGTTGGTTTAAACTCTTCTCAGCCAGACAGAAGAAGCTTCTTGAAGCAAGACCAAAGCCTGCAATTTTGTTCTTAGATGTCTGAACATTGAATTGTGTCACCTCTTACTAGAGTACTTTCATATCTCCACGTCGGTAAGCCACACAAATTAGCCAGAAGCTTTCCAGGTGCCTGACCCTGTAACTTTTGAAGGACTATTCCCTTTTCCCATAAAGGAAATGGTATGTGGTGAGAAACAAACAGTGGGGATGACACTGGGCAGGTGTGATGTGGACTGGGCCTTGCTGCAATACAGTTATCTACATGCGTCCTGGTCTAACAGGCACCTCGTGCATTCTGCCTCTGAGGATGCATTTGCTAGAGCACAAATTGGATACCAAGGTTTAGGGCTTGTTGAAATACCCATGCCAGGTGCCATGTTTGGCAAAATGGGACACAGAATTTTATCCCTGCTTTCTGTAACTTGCGGAGAATGAGTCAGTGGGTCAGTGTCTTGTGAAAGATCCCTGTTTGATTTGAGCTGATTCTTAGAGAAATAACCAGCTTGAGCTTATTAGACTTCCCCTGTGAACCAGAGAGAACAGGACACTAGCAGGGCTGGGAACTGCAGGGTAGGGAGTCTGTTCCCAGGGCATTTCCAGCCCATCAGCTGTGGTTGAACTCAGCTCCAAGACTTCAGGCCCTTAAATTTCACCCGCTATTGGCCACAAGGCTAATCCACCCTTGAGTCCCAGAGCTGGCAGGGAGCTTGTGATTCTGCCTCTTCCATACATAAAACCCAGAGATGCCTTCTCTCTAATCAAGGCCTTACATGGGCAAAGGTATATAAAATGCAGCCTGCTCT